TTCTCACGTTCCGTGAATAGCCGGGGCATTGAGGAATATCTAGAAAGGCATTCTTTTGACCCAATTTTTTTTTTCTCCTTATCGGTTAAGAAAGACAAGAAAATTTCAGGGTAACAAACATTCTCTAGAATTTCTCTTAGATTCGAACCCATAGCTGATGATAGAACTAAAATAGATATTTTCTATTTTTGTTATCTATTATGCCTTCTAACGGGTCTCGATCTTCTTGAATTTTGAAAAAATTTAAAATACTCATCACGCAACTAAAAATACCCCAAAAATTCCAAATTGGTGTCGAAAATCCTTTTCGATCAATTTTAGGGTTCCGGTATGGCGGCGCCATCGTACTCCAGCGTTGGCTCCATCGCCCACGGTAGCGGTTCGCCTCAATCTGGCCGATTTTGGCCAATTTTGACCAGTTTTACACGTATCCCTGTGAAAAAATATGTTATGGAGCCTTCGTTGGCCGAAAAACACAAAAAATAGAACTTATTGGCAGGTGGTCTCCGACTACGGTGGCTTTGCCGGTTCTTCTTCGCGACTGAGGTTTCTTCATCGACTAAATCTATACAGAAACGGACGATGAGTACAATGGTCAGAAAATTACGTGAAACGGAAAGCATGAAGGAGCTCATTGAAGGGATTTTAGGGTTTCGGTTGCAGTGGCTCCGCCACGCTGTGCCGGCGGTTTCTAGCTCATCTGTCATCCCTTTTATTCTGTTATGGCCATGGAAAGACTCAAAATTAAATTCCATGTGGGTAAGAGAGAATTTTACTTTTTTTTTTTGCAGTCGGCTGTGGCTCCGATGTGACGGCGGCCGGTGGTCGGTCTCCTTCTCCGGTGGTTGGTCCTTCTTCTCCGGCGAGGGCAGGTGCGGCTAGGATTAGAGTTCCCCTTGGACGCGATATTTTTATACTTATCCTGCGTCGATCTGGGTCGTCCTTTTGCGTCGACATGGACCGAGGAGAGTCGTCCGATAGTGGCCTGTTTAGGCCGATTGCGTGGACGAATCTGCACCATTTATGACAATTGATCTCATCCGTCCGATCATACCTAATGAGAGAACGCATCTGAGTTATTTACGCGCGCGGGATTGAATCTGGGTTGTCAAATCGCTAAGCACGCAGTTTGCCCGCGTGGCGTCGGTGAGTTTGTTTTATTATGTTGCGTGCTCTAGTTCGTCGTGGCTACTAACTGAGTCGTCCCACGTGACCAATTTTTTTTTTTTTTGCATTTTAACCCATCTGTTTCTAATTTTTCTTTTAAAAATATTCTCTGAACTCAAATTTTTATTTATCTTTCTTAAAATTGCTTTCAATTATGTCGATAACTTATTTTTTAAAAATAATTTAATAAAATTAATATTTTTTATTATTTTTATAAACACAAAAATTGATTATGAGTTAAATTTTGAACTCAAATATTATATTATTAAGTATAATATTTTCGTTAAAATGCAAGTTTTAGTTAGGTCAGCTTTGAGTTGACAAAAAAAGATGTATGGGTCATGACGTATTCAGTTAGAACGAACTTAAATTTACTCTTCCTACTGTGCTTCATACATGATTAAACATTGGTTGTAAAAAAAAAATTAATTTTCCGTATAAACAATTTATTTATTGTTCT